GTTCATTTTCTGTATCACTGCTGGGTCACCTTCCTGTTATTCAGCCATGCATGTCCTCAACTCTTGCCGTCTATCTTACTGGCTAACTGTTTTTCTTTCTCTTGTGCTCTTTTATCTCTCTCTCTCTCACACACACACACACACACACACACACACACACACACACACACACACACACCTGTGTTGCTGGTTTAAAGTGTCCACTGTTATTTTGGGCCTGCCTGTGTTTGTGCATATTATCTAGTGTCTGGCTGCGGTGTGAATAGGGAGCCCTTTGGGGATAGATCTCTTTCAGTTCCAAATAATGATGCAGGACTGTCTTATACACAAACAGTTCTTTTTAAAAAATCATCCGTTTTTAGCACTTTTTTCATTTGAGAAACACAAATGTTCTAAATTTTAATAAACTCATTAATAGCAAAAACTATAAAGTATAAAATTTAGGCTTATTATAAGCTGTCTACTCTTTGGACGCAGCCAAGATATTCACGTGTGTTGTCCCATATGTTGTATTGCATTACACACCAGGGGCAAGCCAGTGAAACCTCTTGAGTCGTTATACAAGCAAACTATAAAAAGTCTAGATAAAACCCAATGCACTTGGTTCATCTGCCCTCCTTGGGCAGATAACGACTTTGATACCATAACCTTGGCTTCAAGGACAGCATAATGCACACATTTTTCTAATTTTGGATGTTTTAGACCAAGCTATGAATTGATGATTCGAGGAAATCAGGAAGTAGAGATCATCAGTTCATCTTCATGGTATGTCCTTCACCATTGGCACCCCTAGTCAGCATCTTTTCAGCATGTTGGATGGACATTCAGGCCGGTTGGGCCTCGTCGGCGAGAGACCACCCTGATTGGCTGTTCAGCTGCATGAGAAGAGAATGGTTCGGGAATGCCCCTTCAGCCTGTGGTTGTAGTATCCATGATTTCACCCATTTAGTTTGGTTTCTTCTTGTTTTTCACTTCCACAACCTCTTTTCTTCCTTCACAGCCAAAAGACCAAAGACAGAGAACGTAGCGCCATTGGCAACTTCTTATCAGACATTGTCGTGGTTAGAAGCAGCTATAAACAGCAGATGCGTTGAATAAGAGCTGCTTTGTTTACACTTGTATTGCCACAGCCTAGCTCTTCTTCTTTCTCCTCTCTGAATGGCGAATACAGATACTGCCACCTGATGGTAGGGAGCTATTTCTGTCACGCAGGAGTTGAACGTACATGCTAGTTGGCCATTGTTCTCTCTCTCTCTCACACACACACACACACACACACACACACACACACACACACACACACCTGTGTTGCTGGTTTAAAGTGTCCACTGTTATTTTGGGCCTGCCTGTGTTTGTGCATATTATCTAGTGTCTGGCTGCGGTGTGAATAGGGAGCCCTTTGGGGATAGATCTCTTTCAGTTCCAAATAATGATGCAGGACTG